TCATTTTTTACGAAATTTATTTTTCCTACAGGTCTGACAATATTTAGCTCTGGTTGTGGCTGATTGAATTTAACTCTAGCTCTTCCAAATATTGCCATAGTTAATTGCCTGTTTAACAAGCTGTTGGTCTGTCTGAATAGCTTTTCTTTTAAGAAATAAAATCCTAATATGTCTTGAAAAACGGACAATTACACTCACTCAGTCACTGCCCTATTTTTTCTTCACTGACCTTAATTTGGTGAACCAAGCAAATCAGGTTCACACCTCACTGCATTCTTGCAGGCACGTTCTGTTGGGTTTGAGCGTGTTCGTGTGTGTGAGGGTGCAGGGGACATGTGTGTGTGTGTGTGTGCGCTTGAAAGCATGTGTGCATGTAGGACTCACTACCCTCTTTTCCACTCTCCCTTTATGGCGTGGAGATTAGGTTGTTAATCCAGTAGACCTCATAGAAAGAGCCTCTCCTAAAGCCACAATGGATTTCAATCAATCCGGTGGGGAGAAAAAAGACCTGCTGTTGATAGGCATCCTGATCCTGTATACACACACACAGGCAGAGAAACCCCAACAAACACAAAAAAGTACACACAAACATGCGTTTCTTTACCAAGGAGAACATTCGATCATGTGTGTATTCACAATTACCAATATTTATTTCTTAAATGTATCATCTTTTACACCGATTTTCAAAGTACGCTTGTTATATATTTTTATTTTTGAAAATTAGTGCATAAAACCAGTACTGTACCTGCCTTAATCATACAGCTTAACTCAAACCTTTACTGTCTCACTGATAGACATTCACCACTCATCCTGGCAGAGCACTGACTTTCTCATTCACTTTTTTTTTTGGGGCTCTTTCATTCACAAAATGCAATCTTTAATTTAAGAATATAATAATGTCTTATTGTCTTATTGAGGACCTTTTTCAGTACAGACTAGATTAAAACACTGTTAAAACACTTGACAGTAAAGTATATTAATGTTTACCTTTTAACTCTTCACTATTATGTTATTCTTATAAATTTTTCTAAGGTCCACATTTGTGTGACCATTTTTCTATAATCTTTTTGCTACTGTAAACACATGAATTTGCCAATTATGGGACTATAAAGGGGTTTTCTATTCTATTCTATTCTAAACTTAATAAATTCAACTTTATTTGAGCAACTCGGTTTTAAAAGTCATAAGAGAAAATCATTGAAAATATCAATTGTGAATACATTTTTATTTGTTATTGGAAACAAAAGTTGAAGTTTTGCATTGAAGCAAAAAAAAAAAAAAAAGGCATTTTATTGATTTTACTTTTTTTGGAGAAAGTGTTTCCATTCTGTGTCAAAGTCAACCCCCCCCCTTACTTTTTTTAAATCATTATTTGGATAAACCTATTTTCCTCTGTCTAACTCACTATCAGCCCCTTTTCTCAATAATCATGAATAGTAGTGTCCTCCATTCATGATCTCTTTGCAGAAACACTCTGTCAGTCTGGGGGACTGCCGCCATGTTTATGAAGCAGTACAAAGAGAGAGACATCAAACACGGGTGTAGAGAGATTCCGACTTCAAAATAAAGTTCTGGTCCTAATGGTAAAAATAAATAAAAATGCTAAAATGGTATTTCTGAAACAAACACACGTTGATGTTTATAGATATTCCTGTCAGTATTCCCATTCTGTCTGCTATTACACAGTAGCCTGAAAAAGAATATTACACACATTATAGTTTCCCCCATTATATAAAAAACACCATGAATTTGTGTTAAAAAAGAAGGGATAAGATAAATGACAAACTGAATTCAAATCTATAACTCTCATATCCTATTCCACATCCTGGCAGCTAAGGTTAACAAAATGGTCAGTCTGGATGCCAAGCAATGTCAAGGAAAAAACGAAATAACTTGCCAAAATGTGTATTGATGATCTGACAGAATTTGGACAAATTCCCAGAAATAAATCAATTCAATTCAACTCAGTTTATTTATATAGCGCCAATTCACAACACATGTCATGTCAAGGCACTTTACAGTTTAACCAGATCATACAGTCAAACTGATTCAAAGTTTTCTATTTAAAGAAAACCAGCTGATTGCATCGATTTATTGACTCAAATGCAATCCCTTACACTAAATCCTTGAATATATGGTATTGTTGATGCTTTTGTATAAAACAGTGTGGTAATAGAGGTATATCTAGACATAAAATTACACCATATTTGACTTTTTTTTTACTAGTTTGTATAAATCTACTCGAAAACCAAATGA